TATAACACTCCCCTGTATAATCCCCGAAATAATCCCTTTAGGGAGTTTAGACTGCAGCTCACTTGCTCCAGTGCGAGATTCCGAGCTTGGTCACACCAAACACAGGTCAGGTCATTGGTTCATGAAAACATCTTCTACCTAGGGTACTGCCCCCCACACACATTGAAAGTTGAAAAATAAATATTCATAACATAATTGTATGGAGCCCTTAGTATGACCCCTAGTATAGACTGTTAATGGGTGAGGGCAGGACCCAACAACTTCCCCCTCGCGCTTGCACGAAGATTCGACTGGGTATCAGGCCATCCGATGTCCGTGCCGCGGGAACCAAGCAGCTTGGGGAGTTAGCTGAGTCCAAGTGCCCTGGCCAGAACTACATGTGATACTACTACATAATAGTCGTAATGATGAAAAGACGTAGTAAGACAATAGTAGGCAATTATAGTAAGAATAGTATAAGTAGAAAGCAGAGGAGTAGTAGTAGTAGTAGTAGTAGCATCATCATCATCATCATCATCCACGTCTTTCCAAGTTCCCTGGCCCCGAAGTGCTCCCCCCAGCAGCCAGCCGAAGCAAGTAGATTATGAGAGGTGCCCTCCCCTTTATACTAAACCCTCCACCCACCCCCTCATATTAAACATGTTTTAGCATACGGGGGTGGGGTGGGTTAAATGTTAGGACTGATAACAGGGGCCATGTGCCATGTTATGGCCTGGCAGGGCTACAAAGTATTCCAAGCAGCGGGAGAGCATCCAAAACTTTGAACCTGCCTGCCACTGCGCGCTGCAGAATTCTCCGGACTGCTGCCAGACCCTGGTTTGGAGTTTAGAGTTGAGGGACAAGGCACACGCATTGAAGATGCTGTTGTAGAAGCTTGTCTACATCCTGGGATGTCGGACCGCCCTTGCCTTTATCAGCTAGCTCAGGCGGATGGGCTTCCCCGGCAGACAGTCACAGTGGAAGTAGACAGGAAGCGCGTGTACCTTGACCTACCAAAACCTAGTTTTTTGTAGGGTCCTATTATAAGCCCTAGTATGGACTTCATAGGGAAGCTACAAAAAGTAGATTTTGGTAGGTTAAGGTACGAGGTCCCTATGCTGAGCCTGCGAAACGGTTGCCAGAGTGCATGCAGATGCTGTTGGTCTGTAGCCCCCTTACCCTAGAAGCCCAGTTACCTATATCTTGGGCTCCTGTCCTTGGTTTCCTATCTAAACTTATACTATTTATAACCCAAGAACCTACTATATGGGTACCTGGGCTTCTAGGGTTAGACCTATAATGAAAATAGTGCTTTTCACGGTCCCCTGCGGTTATACTACAATAAAAACGCAAAGTACTCCTTCAAGAGATTACGGTATACTACCGTGGTAGGGTCAAATGCTTGGTCTTCAAGCCCTGATTGGCACGTGACATGGAAGCAATTTGCGCCTACGGCAGGACACACATTACCTGCGAAATGGAGAGTCCCTTCCCCTTGTCATAAACGCCTGAATAATAGTGCTAGTAGTCCGTACTATAGGGTTTAGGGTAGATAGTCATTAGGGCTTTGGGGTTTATAGTCTTAATTAGCGTTTAGGGCGTAACTGTAGCCATTCTAACAACAACACTGGTACTAGTTGTAATAGTAGTGGCACTGGGATCCCGGCCACACGTCGTTTTCATAGCCCAGCGCAGATCGACCTGTCAGCACACCAGGCCAAACGATCAAGCTGGTCCACTACTGAAGGAGTCGATCAACATTTGATCGAGGGAATGTCTTTTCAGGTCGTTCCTCTGGTAACTCGAGCAACGTATATGTTACATCCCTAAACCCTTGCTGCATTACATTGTAGCGCTTTTGGCAGCTCCCACCCACAACACCGATTATCAAAACGTTGGCTGCTGCTTTTAACCATCCAGCGATTCAGATGCTTTGTGCAGGGTGCAAGCCGAACAAATGAGAAGGGGCTTTAATAATTACTGCGATTACTACTATTATATCTGCAGAATCAGAGTTGCAAATGCAGGCTGCCTCCGGCCAGGATGACCTGATTCGCGTGGGCAGGCTGGCACATCTAGCTTGGGATTCGCGTTTAGTTGGGCATGTTGGTCTGGTGGACTTCTACATGTGTGAAGCACACTCATCGACAGCCTTGACATTGCTGAACCTGAAGAATCGTGTGTGACATCCATGCTGCATAGCCTGAGGCAATCACCCCACTTGCGGTCCAAACTGCCCCTGGCTCCTGCATGTGCCAGCATCATGCGGCACCTGCCTGCAAGAGCCTCCAGCATATGACCCCTTGCACTTGTTGTGGGAACCGTGCCTGTCCGACACAACCACGCACGACCTACATGAGCCCTGGTTGAAACGCGTACGTTGCGTGGAGGGGCATTCAAAAGGCAAGCTGTGACGTGGCATCGGCTCTCCGTGGCTCTTCAGTTACATCATTGGCAGTCACAGAAGCAGCATGCCGGGGCGGTCCGACCGTGGCGCCCAGGGCGCATCCCTTACCACAATGCAGACAATGTATTACTTTCTTCAGAATATTACCATTTTTACAATATTACCATTTTTACTCTTGTTACTATTGTTAGTACTAAGTACGACTACTAGTATTACTACTATTCTTGATCGTTACTGTTTTCGTTACTCTTTGTATTTCTATTGCTACTATCAACACCACTGATCCCTAGAAGATGCCAAGCCATGGGCAGGAGCTGTGCCCACTGTCCATAGATCGGAGAGTCTGTGCACCTTGACTGGCAGTGAGAACGAAGCCCTGACCAATTCTCCAACCACAGCTCCTGCAAGTAGTATTCACCCCTGATTTTGGGAACCTTAAACCCTATGCAAAGATATATATATATACACATATATATATGCATATATATATATATACACCTATAAAACCTACATAAACCCTTTAAACGGGTACCCCTAATTTTGGGAAACATCCCACTTGCAGAAAACCGGGGGCTGTGCGTGTAGCTGCATTCGAGACCGAACCTGGTAAGGTTGAGGGTTTAGGGGGTTGTTCTAAAGGTCCGTGTAAAGAAGGGACCAGGGGGAATACACTTCCTTAAGAGGGCCATTTTTGGGGGATAGGTATTTTGAACCACTACCAGATAGGCTGATATCTATAGCCTGTGACTGACACCATGCCACATGCCCTGCAGGGGCTGGCAGAATGGGCCTCATTTCTAAGTGGCTGCTGCCGAGTGCTTCTACTTTCGGCATGTACCCCAAAAAATAAACTCTAAGCCCCAAATCCTAAACCCCAAATCCTAACCCTTAAACCCAGTGGCTTGCATGACTTGCCTGGCAGCTTCCAAGGCCTGCATATCCTCCAGCAGGGTGCACTTCCTGGCCAAGCCAAACATGGGGTTCGGCTACATGGACCTTAAACATATGAGCTATAGTCTGAACTCGTTGTATCCCCCTCAATAAGCCTTATATTAGTCCCCTATATAATCCCTATATAACCCCCCTTAAGGAGTGTAGACTATAGCTCATACGTAACATGACGGTCCAACAGCCTAAGAATCAGCAAGAAACAGCCGCTATTCTATGTACTTAGGAGTCCAGGTATTGCGGCAAGGAATAGCTATGACCAGCCTCACCGTGATGGGTTCTGAGCTGATGAAGGGCCCCTAAACCCTAAACCCTAAACCCTAAACCCCCCCAAACCCCCTAGATCCCAACTAGAGGGTCCAAGTACCCAGAGGCTTTAATAAGGGCTGCAACTTGGCTCCAGAAGTGGGGGTTTCCCAAAGGTTTAGGGTTCAGGGGTTTAGGGTTTAGGGTTTAGGGATTAGGGTTTAGGGTTTAGGGTTTAGGGATTAGGGATTAGGGTTTAGGGATTAGGGATTAGGGTTTAGGGTTTAGGGGCTTCCCAAAATTAGGGGTACCTTATTAGGGGTGGATTTTAATATTTTGGGGTCTATATTGGGTTCCCCCTATGTAGGGAAACTGCCACATAATTCTTGCTTGCAACTCGCATTTTGCATGTTTGTGTCTCTGCGCGGGCGCTCTAGACGTACTGAAGCAAAATTTGAAAAGACGCTCAACCAAGCTGTGCGAGAAGCTGGCAGAACCCTAAACTCTGGACCCTAACCCCCTAACCCTAAACCTTTAAACCCTTAAACCCTTAAACCCTAAACCCTTGAACCCTAAACGTGAGGTCCCTAGGCACCTGGGAGTCCAACGCCAAACATCGTTCAACAAACCGGGCTCACCTGGCAAATGAGCGGCATCAATGCCCAGGTCATGCGAGCTTCAGTCTAAATTCCTGCTATCCCCTTTAATGATTATTATACTCCCCCATAGAATCCCCTAACCCCCTTGAAGGAGTTTAGACTATAGCTCATGCGGGGCAGATGACTGTCAACTCTGACCAATCAGTTCCAGCCTACGCCACCCATCAGGAGAATGTCCTTGGGATGGCACTGAGGAGCAAAAAGGATATCGGCACATGCAATCTGCGTGACAGATGGATGTCTCGCACGCAGTTCTTCAGCTTTGCCAAGCAGCATGTTCCTCGCGGAGTCGATGATGTGCAGATTTCTGCTATGAAAAGCATGAATTTGTGAAAATTGAGCGCCTTGGTCCCCTCTGTGGCTGACTTGAAGGAATATGGTTGCCAAGGGGCCTGTGCCATGGCTACACACCAGAGAGCGATTCAGAGAGAGACAGAGAGGCCGCGCGCTGGAAATCATCTCAAACAATTTGCAGAATTGGGAGGGCATAGGCCCCCGAAACAATCCTAAACCCCAAGCCCCGCGAAACAATCCTGAAGTCTCAACTCCTTTGCGGTCGGAATTCTTTGGCTTTTTGAAGGCAATGAAAAGGGGGAAGCCTATCCATATTGCTCCCGAAGCTTTAGGAACACGCAGTAGAAGTTTAGTTGTGGACACTCTTCTTATACAGTATTATACCCCAAAGCGAAGACTCATCTTCCTATTGGGGACTATAGGATCCCTAATTAAACACTAATCCGCTGATCTGAGTGACTTCGTGCTCACTCCCAGAATGCTTCAGCCGCTGTTCGGGCCGCGCTCAATGCATCCGCGTCAGCACCACGAGCTGCTCCCTGCGCAAAGGCCCTCAGCGTTGCCAATTTACTGCTTTCCTAGGTCTAGGGCAAGTTTGGGCGCCCTAACGAACAGCAATGTCAACAGCATTATAGGACTTTCATTGTGTTTCAAGGGTCATACGAATTACAACATGTTTTCAAGGCTACTCCTGAGGTAGGTATATGGGGTGTTAGACGGGGCCTTGAGGGTATATGTGTGCGCAAAGGAACATGGAAAATGATATGGAAACTGCGATGACAGAGGGATTTTGGGATGTAAGGCACCGTAGTCTGCACATACTACTTCGGCACATGTTGTGACAGACAGGCGTCGGTTTGCCACCGCCCTTGCCGCCGACAGCAGCAAGCGCGGCCTCAACGAATTTACAAAGCCACCACAGCAACTAGAGCTCTCAACTACTAAAGGGGTCCTGAAAATTGTCCAAAATGATGTTGAAGTATACATAGAACCATAACATTGGTAAGTATGTAGGCTTCTAGGTGACACTGCTTGACCATGCCAGCCTGAACCCAGGCACCAGCAGGCTTCGAATCCTGTCACGGTAGCCACACAACCAGATGGTCTGGTCTTAGGATTCAGGGTCCAAGGTCTGTTTGGAACAGTTCCACCCATGCCATTTTTGCAGGGACAGTACAGGTCTCCAGACTTTGAGAACTCCACGCTCACAGCATCCATGGAGATTATATGTCTGCCTCCGCCCGAGATATTGGTGGGCATTCACGCAAACATGAAACCCGACCTACAATGACCTACGGCCTCAGATCCCAGAACCCAAAACCCTAAACCCTGAACCCTAATCTTGCGGATCCTGCAAGGAGGATGGGACGGCTGCCAAACAGTCGACCGCTCCCTCACCTCTGCAAGATGCTGAGGAAGTCTGAGGAAATTCCAGGTGGGTAGGGTTTTTTTGGTGGTTGAACCTAGCAAGACATTATATTCTTGATAGAAGATACTATACCCCAAAAGTAGGATAGAATCTTACTCTATAATGGGTACCATAGTATCCCAAATAAAATACTACTCAGGTGGGTAAGTAGTTTTCGCCTTTTCAGCCCGCCAAGCCCTTTTCTTATCTCCTAGTCTCCTCATTTCAGCCTTTTGAAAGCCAGATGTCAGTGCATCCGCCTGGTGATTCCCCACCTGCAAAAATGCCTGAAGAAAGCCATGGCATGGTCTTTGTTGCGGCTACGTGGGCCCTAGCCGCAGAAGCCCTGCCCAGCATGGCAACCGAGACTTCACAAATGGGAGTTCATCAATATGGGGTCTTCAATGGATAGCTCTGAAAAAGGTTTTGAGTTGAGGGAAATGACTCCGATCATGGAGAGGACTGAATGGAAAAGAGAAATGCTTCCCGTATAACCCCAAATTCAAGCACCAACATAATCACATAATCATGTAATGTGTGCAGAACGGAGCATGAGATTTCGAGGTATGAGGGGTTCTCAAAGGGCCCCCATAGTATAGGGTTGTACGGCAAGCGCAGAAGTGCATTCTGTGGCTCTCCTTTCAGGATTGGATAGGGCTTTTCGAATGAAGCTCTCATCTTACTATATCATTTGGGACTTGTTCCCAAAACAAAGGAAAGCGTGTAGGGATCCGTGTTGTACTCGTGTGACCGCTATAGGCACCCGTAATGTGTTGATTTCGGGGAAATCCACATGCAATCCTGTGCCTAAACCTTATAAACCTAAGCCCCAAACCCTGTTAAGGCCCTTACCGAAAGATATTGGAGGACAATCCAGGAGTTGCTTCATACCCTCTCCTATGGCCGGGCATACTCGGCTATCACGAAAACTGTGCTCAGGACTCCTCCCATACAAACAATGGCTTGTCCTGCGCCAACCCAATTGCGGTTAGAACGCTAAGCTGGCAAAGGCGGCGTGTCGACGGCGCAACGCTTGAACTTGTAATTAGCAATTCGCTTCTCTGAGTTCGCTCAAAGAATCTTGGCGTGCTTCTAGCCTGAATGGTCATCAGACAGCTTGCATAAGCCCTCTCTCTCTCTCTCGCAGACTCGGGTTCGCGTCAGCTGCTGCGAATTCACCCCTCAGTTCAAGCAGTGAAATTCACGACTATCAGTGCACAATCAGAAACTACATACTTAAAACACCCAATCGTCAGGAGCTTCCTCCAACAGGATGACAGGAACTAGATCACTACACTGCGAATCTTCGGGGTATAGCTGATGGACAAAGACCCTGTAAGCCCTAAACCCTCTAAGCCATATAAGCCATAAACCTAACCCTATAAGCACTAAGCTCTCTAAGCTCTACGCCCTAAAGTTCATAAGCCCAAAACTCTAAACCCGAACCCTAAAACATGAACCATATAAGCCCAAAACTCTAAACCCTGAACCCTAAAAACCTAAACCCTATAAGCCCTACACTCTCAACCCTAAACCCTACCCGCTATACCCTAAACTGGGTTGGCCCCTAAAACCCTTTGAAAAATATTAGTATATAGGGTCCCTTACTAAAGCCATTAGGGAAAATATCAAATATCCCAGAACACTACCCAGTTCTACTACAATAAATAACATAACTCCTATATAACCCCAGCTTCCATTTCATTTTCCATTTTCTTTTCCATTTGATTCTCCATTATTGGGGGTAATAATGGGTACCATAGTATCCAAAACCCTAAATCCCCAATTGGGATGCACTTGAACCTTTTGAAGCCAGCCCGCGCTCTTGGAGCCCTGTGGACCCAGTTCGGGCCTTCAAAAATGGTAGTTTCCCAAAATAATGGGACCCCAATATAGACCCTAAAATACTATAATCCTTATTATAGGATACCCCCAAAATGGCACCCCTAATTTTAGGAAATACTCAAATAGTTTTTTTTTTTTTTGTTTTTTTTTTTTTTTTTTTTTTTTTTTTTTTTTTTTTTTTTTTTTTTTTTTTTTTTTATTTTTTTTTTTTTTTTTTTTTTTTTTTTTTTTTTTTTTTTTTTTTTTT